AACCCTGTGCTTTGACAATGGAATGCGTAATGTTCTGGTTTTAGGCCAGAGCATTTCTCAGGCTCCCACTTGTGGCACACATCGCATTTTATACCTTTCACGACGCGCTTCCCACAACTAACACTTAGACATGGAAACGCCGCTCGGGGCATGTCAAAAACGAACGATAAAAGCGTAATACAAAAACGGGTTACAGCACCTCGAAAACTTCAAAAAACGCTATACGCAAAATGTAGATACAAATACCAAAAACTAGCACTCTCCGGTCAGGTCAAGTAAAGTCAAGTCAGGTCACAGGGCTTTAGGCTTCGGCCAGTGGACTTCAGGTTCTTGCACTTGTGAGGTGGTGATTACCACTGTAGGTAGTTCCACAGTTGTGATGGGTGTTGTATCTACAAGGGAAGAGATGAAGAGCAGGATCGTCCTCGGGGTGACAGCAGTCTCAATGATTGGACAGGCGCCACACCTCAGCGCACTGCTACTCCAGCCATGACAGCTTCCCGGGGGCTGATGACTAAAAAAAACAATTTTTGTGCTAATTGTGCGTGAGGTGCGTGATTCAAAGGAGTGATGTTAGAAATAGGCAACGGCTACAAACGGAGGATGTGGCTAGTAATTGAGACTTGTACTATTCACATTCTGGAAACACCTCGTCCCAGCAGTTGTCTAGTTTGCGCTTGAATTGCAGAACACAAGATGTTGGGACTACTGTAGGTGGAAGTTTGTTCCATGCGTTTACCACGCGGTGGGAGAAAATCTGTGCCCTGGCACTTCGTTGGCCCGTGGTTTCATCAGCTTCAGGTCATGCCCCCGGAGGGTTGGGTTGAGGTTTCGTGTAAACAAGGATCTATCCGTTACTGACCGTCCTTTGAGCTGTTTGAGCGTCTCGATCAAGTCCTTCCTCAGGCAACGGCGATGCAATGTAAATAAGTTAAGGGCCGCCAGCCTTTGTTTGTAGGACTTTCCCTTTAGTCCACTGATCATCCAGGTGAACCTTTTTGTACTGCCTCAAGTGGTTCTCTACCCCTTACTAGGAGAGGGGCCCACGCCTGGACACAGTACTCCAGATGTGGCCGCACAAACGCCTTATACAATGGTAAGATTATCGAAGCCTCCCTCGATATTACCGTTCTGCAAAGTTGAAATGGGGCTCTATTGGCCTTTGCGCGGCTGCCGCGCATTGCAGTGAAGGCTTAAAGGAGGAGTGTATCTGCATCCCTAGATCCTTGACTACATCTGCAGGTTCCATGACGTTCATCGACTCAGCGCCTAGTTGTCGCACCTCCGCGGACCCTCTATTTAGCAGCAGGTGCCTGCACTTGCTGCCCTTGAGAGATAGTTCCCATGAGGCCGCCCAGTCATCAATTGCGTTGAGTGCATCCTGTAAATAAACCGATGAGGGATTCCCTACTACTTTTAGGTCATCTGCGAATAGTCTTGAATAGGAACCCACGGCACCGAAAGATCTCAGTGACGTCATTTACATACAGCACAAATAGTATAGAACCAAGGACTGAGCCTTGAGGCACCCCACTACAGACTGCTGCCGTCCCCGAGGTTTCCTGTTCGACCCTTACACGGAACGTCCTTTTGTGCAGGTACGCTTTGATCCACTTCACTAACTGCTAGTCTACGCGTAAGGCTCCCAGTTTGTGCAAGAGGAATCTATGAATGACCGAGTCGAAGGCTATCCTGAAATCAAGGTAGCGCACTTCGACTCGATCCCCTGCGTCCAACCTGTCTGTTACCTCGTCCAGAAATGATAGGAGGTTAGTGAAACACGACTTTCTGTTGACAAAGCCGTGTTTTTGGCCAGCTACGAGGTGTTGGTTGTCCAAGTAACCCACTAACTTCTCCCTGAGGAGCCACTGGAAGGTTTTCAGGACAGCCGAAAGCAGGACGATAGTTCCATGCAGCCTCCCTTGATCCTCCCTTGTGGATTGGCACCACTTCTGCTGTGGTCCAGTCGGCCGGCAGCGTTGCAGAGGCAAGGGATCGGTTGTAAAGCTGAGTAAGTGCATCTGCAATAATGTCAGCAATGGGCCGCAGTACTGCTGGATGCAGCCCATCCGGGCCCGCGGCCTTGTGCTGATCTAGTTGTTTCAGTGGTGCTTCTACCTCCTTTGCCTCTAATACAAACTGAGCCATGCGCTGTTCGGGGAGTCTACGCAGAAGGTCAGGCAAAGGCCTTCCCAGGTCCGTTAAGTGGACCTTCTCGAAGAAGCTCTTTAGAACTTCAGCCTTCTCCTTGCTGGAGGCACCGTCTGCATTTACTACATTACCAACCGCAACCCTAGAATGAGCCCTAGACTGCTCATAGTTGTAGTAGGTTTTTGGTTGTTGTTTCGAATTGCGAGCAATCCTACTCTCGTATTCCCTTTGGCAGTGTCCCTGAGTCCTAACTGCTCTTTCTCTCGCCGCCCGATAACTCAGGGGCTGACGATGGCCACCCCTGTTCCTGAGACAGTTTCAAGCCCTCCGCTTTATAGCTTGTGCCCTGACTACCTTTTTACTCACCAAGGCGGACGGCCTCCTCTTCTAACCCTTCTCATGGGAACCGAAAACGTCCGTGAGCCGGATGATGCTGTCTTTGAATAACTGCCACTCCTGCTTCGCTATGTGGAGGCCATCTGTTGTCCACTGGATTACCTCTGCTGCTTGCCTGAGCGCCAGGACATCCAGCTTCATATAGTCCCTCCTTAGCTTATGTGGGATTGGGGGAGGGTTTCCCTTGATGTGGAACCTAAATATTCCATGGTCACTACGCCCTAGGGGAGCAGAAACCCCGGGCTGTTCCACATCCTGCGGCATCTTGAACAGAACTAGGTCCGATATGCTAGGTCTTTGCCCCTCCCGCCATCTAGTGGGTTGATTAACGTGCTGCACCAGGGGTAGCACTGTCGTCAATTCCACTAGTTTTCTACCAAAATCAGATCGAGGGACCAAAAGGCTTCCCCAGTCTACCTCCGGAGAGTTGAAGTCACCCATGATGACCAACCGCTCCGCATGGTTGCTTACCCTGGCCAGATAGTCTCACAGTTGGCCATCCCCCTCCTCATCTGATAGTGGTGCTCTGTAGGCACCTACTACCGTCACAATGCAGTTCGGGGATTGCATGGTGCATGAACACGCCTGGATATTCGGCGTGGACATGTGATCGCCCTCGGCCTGATCTTGGGTGTCCGTAACAAGGAGCAACATGTCACCTCCACCCCTACCATCTTCACTGTCAGACCTGCAGGCGCTGTACCCGGTGAGTTGCAGGCTCTCCGTTGTGATGGCTTCGTGTAACCATGTCTCGGCTATCACAGTACAGTTTGATCCGACGGTTACAGCCTTTAATTCTCTCCACTTGTTGCCTAGGCTGAAGGCGTTCGTGTAGAATGCTGATAAACCCCCAGCCCAAGTCCTCTTCCAGCCTTGGTGTCACTAGAGTCTAGTGTGCACTCGGGCAAACTGCCCGAAACCCTTTTCGCTTTTTGTCTCTGGCATACTTTTGGTCCTCAGTCGCTGAGGTACCGCAGAGGGAATGACGTTAACACTGGCCCCTCGAGCCACCGTAGCCCACAATTCCTTACTAGTCTCCAACTGAGTAGGCACAACATCATCCGGCCTGTCCTTACGATTAGCTGTGACCACTGTCATCCGTCCTACCAGCGTGGGCTCAGAGCCTTCATCGTTACGTCTGTGTCCTGTGGGAAATAGTGTTGGTGTAGGTGAGCCGGAAATGGGAGTGGATGTGGTACGTTGAACAGCGCTTGCCGGTGACTGATGCTGCAGTTTACTGATCTCTATCCTCGGTGAGTTACCCCAGGAATGGCCGTATGTCGTGTTAGTTGGTGATGCCTGTCGGCGGAAGCCGGCATACATAGATGCGTTATCCGGTTCGACGCCTATCTTCCCATTCGTCAAACTGTTTAATCTACCCGGCACCGCCAGGAATGCATCCCGGAATCTCTGATTGCCAAATTCTACGAGAGCGGGCCTTGAGAAGCGCGCTATGCTTACCTGTGCGTCAGACCATTTCCCAAGCCTGAAAATCCGTTTGATTAGTGCGTGGGCCGGGATTCCCACCTGTTTAAGTAGGGAGGAGACACGGTGTCTCAGATCCCTTTCTCTCAGTCTGACACTGCTGCAGAGCGGCTCTTCCATTCTTTTGATGACAACATTTCGCTGCCTGCCTATTGCGAGGTCAGGTCAGGTCAGGTTGCACAGGACTGGTAGTGGCCACTGGCCAATCAAGCGTCCAGAATTCCTTCAGTGGTGTGCTCACGAGTGTGCATCCACCTCTTCAATTGATCGGTTTCTTCGCCCATCCGCCAACAGCGAGAAAGAGAAACCTTACTTCTCGCCGTGTCGGCGAGAGACTGAGTTCAGTCTAGTTCAGTTTGCACAGGAAGTTGTGTGGCCCGGGCCAATCTTGCGTCCAGATTGATGTGTTGTCCGCTGTTCTTGTGGTTGCCAACACTGCGAGTCAATAGTTTTTTTCTGACAGAAAGTAATGTGCAGTATCACGTATAAGGTAATGACGCTCAGGACTAATAGGTACTTAGCATCAGACTGTTTCAGGGAAGGAAGCCCAACAGTCATCTAATGGTTATTCTAGTGTCTTAGTTTTCAATTCCCTTTTATCGGACATGATTGAGCAGCTTGTTTTAATATGTACAATACCTACGACACAATACAAATTCTGTTCGTAGCTCCGCACGTGTTCTACGAGTGTTGCTGTAGCATTGATCAATAATTATCAGTTGTCATCAAGCGGTCCGTTAACTGTCGCAGCCATTCATTTCAGCTCCATTGCACCTCATCAACCGGAGCCACACCTCTGAAGATTAGGATCAATCAACCAGCCGGACAATCTTTCCGTGAGTCTGTTCCTTGTACCGTTTATTCCATTATTATTCCTATGTATGGTATCTTTTCCACTACATATTTGATGAGCCCGTGTCTAGGTTACCTCCAGCTTCATATTTTACTGCGGTCACCCAAATTTTTCAGGAATTTAACTTCATTTTATTTTATTCGTTTATTGTACATTTGACATATGGAGCAATCAAAACTAGACATAGAGGACCTTCCTATGTCTTCTCACATTAAATTGCCGGC